AACCATTGCGTATTGCCAATGATGACATATGGATCTAAGATATGGTCCTTCACCGCTGGCCGGAATTTGTGGAACTTCAAGGTCACTCAACGAGCTGTGGCGAAAATCATTAACTTCTGTGCCATAGAATTCATATTGAAGATATACCAAGGTAACCAACGAACCAAGCACACTGTCAGCCCGCTGGAAAGTAGATGCTGCGGCCCATAGACATCTAAATCTATCCTAGATTAAGAATCAAAATGTGGATGCCCTGTCACCCTTGAGGGTCAATATGGAATGCTTCGTTTCTATTAAAAAGAGTCTTCAATTCTCTACACTCAGAAGTAGTATTAATCTTTTTCCCTAGACGAGCCGCACAAATCGTGCTAAAATCATAATATAGCACATGCAGAAAGTTAATGAATGCAGGTGGCTCATGTTTTGGTGGATGACTATCTTCTACGTTGAACTTGTAAAGGGCTGTAATTGTTTAAGGGATGGAATAATCTTTAAATCTTATCGGTACTTTCTTATTTCCGAAGACTTCGTCAAAAGCCATTCTTAAAAAGATCACGTAACTTGTTTCCTGTTGCCATCAATCCGATAGAAAATATCCGAGAAAAATAAGCTAAAATCCATCACGGCACCACAGCTTTAACAGCGCAGATCTTTGATTCAGTGGAACTTATCTAATTTTAGTAGACATAGAATACCAAAGCTTGTGGCTGTATAAAATTTTAAAATAACGCTTTTAAACTCAAGGTCCAACTCAAAACTTTTTATTCAATTGAAGGTTGCCTGATGATCTTATAAAAGTTAAAACCTAAACCGGTTTGAAAAAGCATGACAGTCTCAATGATAAACCGGTAAGATACTCTAGGTTTTATTCGAAGTCATAATAAAATTTCATTAACAACAACGACTTATAAAAATAAGAACAGAATTAAGATAGGAATGCTTTGGTAGTTTGATCACGTAGAAAAAATGAATGAAAAAAGAGTGACAAAGCAAAGGAGACAATCAATTTTTCTATGCAGAATGGGCCCACAACAAATTTTAAAGATCCTCAATGAAATGCATGTCGATTTATTCCTTATAATCCATATATTACAATAATATTATTAGTTTTACTACATCTAAACGGAGTCCTGAGAAATTAACAAATAAAATGTGAATCTAACAATAACCTAAAAACAAACTGAAAGCGATTTTCTAGTAGTATTCATCGGTATTATGAGTTAAAATAGTGCATATTCGAATAATAGTACGTATAAAACTAAGCTGAAGGTATATTTAGCATTTATAAATATTTTAAAATCGATGTAAAACCTTTCACTAGTTCCGTTAAAACATAGTGCCTGCCTATGCACAAATGTCGTATGGATTCTATTTTTGACATGTATTGATTGTGAGTGTAATAAAAAACACCACGATGGCTAAGAGATAATGTCTATTTATATTAATGATTTTACCAACGCACAGTAAGAAATTTGTTTTAAACTGGTTGTATTACAAAAAACAAAATATAATGTAATAATTTATTTAAGTATTCTATTAACAGTAGTAGGTACAGAAACAGAAACCTTTTATTTAATTTAGATTATAAATAATACTTATTGAAAGTCACTTTTTTTAATTTACCACTGGTTCGGAAAGAAACCTCTGACTTGTAGAGAACCAGCAAAATACCCCGTGGGTCTTTAAAAAAAAGCCAGCTTATAATCATGTATGACATAGTTAACAACACAGAAGAAATTAGAAATAGCTTGTTAGCAATCACCTTACGCACGGGTTATTGTCAGCCATAAATTCCTTTATACTATAATAACCCCTTTTATACAATCTTAGTGTAATAAATTTTTAAACTTTTATGATTGTCTGACAGGAGTGGTGTCAAGACTTTGTTTTAATATGTTTTGGTTGATTAGTAAGTAGTATCATAATAAAATGACTGGGAATTAACATGCTTATCTATGTTATTACACAATGATAAATAGTGTGGCAGTAAGATGTTTCAAATTGTTTAAGGATTACAAAAACACAGGCTTAATTTAAATGTATTTATTACTAGCGATGCGCCTCAGCTGCAGCACTGGTGATATATGGATCTCGACAACAGTGCCATCTACCGGGTCCAAATGTAAATATAAACAATCTAGGGATCCATCCAAACACACACAAACATTTTCATAGAAATTGGTTGGATAGTTTCTTATGTTTTGTCTATAACGGACATAGGTAGAAACATTTTAGTGTTAGATATATTTCTGAAGGTTTTTTGAAAATAACTTGGTAACATGTACATTTATGATATTGTAAGCAATCAAAAGGCATTTTCAATTATAAGAGATATGATATAAGACAGTAGTCTTCAATATCCATACACATTTGTCTCTGCAAGGTTTCAGCCCGCAAGGCATACAGATTTGTTTTAAGCGATCCAACTGAAAAGAAGTTAATGACAATTGTAAAGGTGTCTTAACTAAATAATAATTCTTATCAATATATTATATTATCAATATTATATAGGATTTAAAAGGACATGTTTAATAACAAGAGATATGAGATAAGACTATGCCTTTAATATCAATAAACTTTATTTACATATTTCTATGAGCATTTTCTTATATCTGCCTTTTCATTTGACAAATAATAAAGAAATTATTATAAATTATACAGCATTAATCATATCCAGCTGATCAAATACAGAAGCAGTAGTTATTGATTAACATCAATGATATTCAACTATATAAAAGTTGTCTTACATTATATTTTCACTGGTTTCATGTACATAGGAGACAAAGATGTTATTGCTATATTAAGTATATCTGATTCTAGATGACAAAATAATATTCCTTTCTGCAGAGTGAACAACACAGCTGTCTAAGCATAATAGATACAACCATTACACTTTCTTCGTGCAAACTATTAGATTCAGAGCATCGTATAGATTCAGAGAGTGCTATATAGATATTACTTCACTAATTTACTTGTGTAATAATAAGTCGCTGCGGGTGACATCACAAGTTGCATCCAAATTCAAACTTGCATCTGGCATATTGTAAACAAAACTGAACTTAGTTTGATTTATGATATTGATTTATAATTTTAATTTCATGATGCAACATATTACCTATTTATAAAGGTACATATTTCAAAATGGTTTAACTAAAGTAGTAGCTACTCTCAACTCTAGTGATAAACCTTTCTGTAAATAGTCGATTTACTCAAAAACTAGTGTACAACTAGAATGACATACATACATAAATTAGTCCGAGTGGCTCTAATCACAAAACTAATCGAATCGCATCTTTGTCTTACGGCCAATGCAGTGTTTGTCTACAATTTAGTGATTAAATCGACTTACTAATACGAGCAATTTATTGATATATTATGTAATAAATAAATTGATATTGGGTAATATTTTTATAATGTTGTATCAATTTATGTTTTATATAATATAAATTCATTATATATATTTTGGATAGTCAAATTATTAACAACATTAAGACTTACGTCATAACGTTAGAGTGATATTATTTTATGAAGATTTTCGATACGCATACCAAAAATAATATATAACTACCTATTAAGCGTAGTAATAATAATTGTGTTTTATGGAAGAAAAATTATAAAAATAATTTGTGACAAATTGACACAGCTTCGTTCAGCTAATTTGAATTGCGTAACTCGAGCTTAAAATCGAGTTACCTGAATTTCAACTCAAGTGGACTTTTTCCGAGTTATCACGGCACATCTCTAAGATAATAATTTTTTTAAATATTACATTACCTTAGCCAATGATCAGAACTCGAACATCAAAACAACTATTTTTTTTTCAGATTTCTTGATTCCGTTTACATTTTTGAAAAATCTATAGGCCATTTACTATTATAATTTGGTGTCTTTTTTGGTGTAAATACTATCAAATAACGTTAATATTTCTAGTGGGCCCAAAAACGATTGTCTCCTTTACGTTGCAGAAGTAAATGGCAGAGTCGACAGGGACGCCCTAGACGAAATAATATCGACAAAACTGGCGATATACGAGTATTTAATACAAGCTTTTTGCCCGCGACTTCACCGCGAGATGCTGGTGGAGTACGTTAGGCACCCGACACGGGGGGCGCACCACTGGCTCCGCACCTGGTTGAATGCGCAGCTTCAGAGGATCTTTAAATTCCCCAAGGCCCTGAAACAGTTAAATATTATTATTAACAATGCTGTTTTAAAATTATTACAATAAATTTTAAAATCATTAACATTATTAGTATTTAGCAATTTTAGTTGTATGTGTAATTGGCTGGAACTCAAACCAAGGATTGGTATCACTTCTTCTTTAACAGTCAGAAACTCCATATTGAAACTCAACCTTCAAAGTGACCTTTCCTATAGGCATTATTTTCCCCCCTCCCCCTTCCCCCGAAGACCTCTAACACAGATCTTGTCTCAACAATTTTATTTTATTATTATCATCGAGAATCCGTTTGAGATCCCTTAATGAGATTACATTAATCTGGGCCCCTGTGTCACATTTAAAACGAACTTTTTTTATTTTCAACCCTTAGCCACTGAGTCCACTCTTTTTTATTTCAATCTATGGAGTAAGTAAATCATAAATGATGAATGTTATAATTGTTACTGTCCTCATTAGTAATAATATATACTATACTTTCTTACTAGTTAGCGTGCAACCCACGCTGAAGTGGTTCATCCTGTTAGATTTTAAACATTTTTTCCCATAAGCCGGGCACATTTGCGGGCCGTGCTTTGTATTACATTTTTAACAGAGATAGTAGTTTTTATTTAAATGACGACTGTGTTTACTACCATTATTATTATCACCAGGAACCCTGCTCTTATTATTTTGACATTTATCTTTATACTCCCAGGTTGTAGTGCGCTGATGCTGTGACCCACTTCTCGACTGCACTGCATGCACCTCCTGGTTTTTAAGCCTCTGCACATGTTCTTTGGAGAGCTCTGTGCCGGCAGATGTCCACAGCCTTCTCTACACTTTAGTCCTTGATTTCATGAAGCTTTTGCTGAACCCTTCGGTCTTGAATTCCAATAACAATTCTATTCTGGAACATTCTTTTCTTTTGGTCAGCAAAATTACAGTTGTCCGCTAGCTTCCTCACAGATGTGTAGAAAAAGTCGAACGACTCTCCACCTTCCTGACTTCTCTTATTAAAATTGTAACTATTTATGACTTCGTTCTGTTTCGGTATGATATAATCGTCAAATATCCTAATAACTTCCTGTAGTTCTGCCTTGTTCGAGTCTTCCGTCTTCAGTGTATTTAGGTATGAATCCTGAGCTTGCTGGCCGATGCAATTTAATAGGATAGCCGATTTCCTTGTCACCGCCAGTTTCTCGTAGCCGGCCGCCAAAATATATATGTTAAAAGATTGTTTAAATCTTTGCCACCGCGGCCAGCAGTTCTCGATGTCGTCCAAAATTAGCTCCTGAGGTATTCTGCATTCGCCCGTCAGCACGTTATTCATTTCCGCGACTTCTTCTAGAGCGTCACTCATAATATTTTTAATAATTAGAATTTAATAATTAGAATATTTTTAATAATTAGTGCGGTGTTAGCCATGTGCCTTTGAGTTTACCTCGAATTGCACTGCTTAATATGCTTTAATCTTGCTGAACTTTATTCTTCACCGACTGAGCCTTGTATTTATAGTAAATAAAAGATGATTGTTTAGATCTTCTTGTATTTATTTAATAAGTTTATTACACATCTTTTTTTAATACTATAACTTAATATCGCAGGCTGCAACGTCCTTTCAGTTCAAACGCACGAGTAAGAGAGCGACTGTGGAAATGAGAAGTGTGATTATTTTTTTATAGAAGAGGGGGCAAACGCGCTTACGGTTCACCTGATGTTAAGTGACTACCGCAGCCCAGGACCAACCGCATCACCAGGGGAATTGTAGGTGCGTTGCCGGCCCTTTAGAAAGGAGTAAGCTCTTTTCTTGAAGGTCCTCAGGTCGCTTCGGTCCGAAAAAATTGCCGGGAGCAAAAAAACGCGGAAGAAAACTCCTTTTGAAACGTACAGTGGTGGACCGCCAAGCATCCAGATGGTGTGGATAGTATCGGGAGGTTTTCCGCGTAGTGCGTTTATGAAATTTGGCGGCTGGGATTAATCTGAACAATTCTTTAGAGCACTTCCCGTAGTAGCTGCGATAAAATGCGCAAAGAGATGCAATATCTCTTCGCAGCGCCAGTGAATCGTACCGATCGGAAACTATTCGGTTGTCGACGATTCGAGCCGCTCTGCGCTGAATGCGGTCAAGTGGAAGGAGCTGGTACTGGGAGCCCTAGCCCAGAGATGGAAACAGTATTCCATGTGCGGCCGAACCTGCACCTTGTAAAGTTGCAGGCGGTGTGCCGGCATGAAATACTATCCCGCTCTGCTGAGCACGCCAAGCTTATGAGAGTTTGGCCTTTTCTTCTAAGTGAATACGTAACTGCACGTCGCTCGATATGTCTACGTCAAGGATTCTGATACTGGCTGAGGCAACAAGGGAAGTGCCTTGAAACTGGGGAGATACGACAAAGGGGTTCTTTGTAGCGGTTAACACGCAAACTTGTGTCTTCTGAGGGTTAAACTGGACTAGATTTAGTCACCCCCAATCCGAGACTTAGTTCAGTAAAGACTCGACTTTAGATACAAGTTTGTCCCGGTACTCGAAGACGTTTTCCCGAGAAATATTGGCACGGCTGGTGTACAGAGCATAGAATAGATTATTCTGACATTGTCATTGACAGGCTGCGTTCTGATACTACAACTAACATGTATAGAATTTGTAGTAAAATTTATCAAAGACTGAGAGCTGTTCCGGTTAATGGGAAATAATTTCCCACTTGATTTTATTTTGCTTTGAAATATCGAATAAAGAAAATAATGTCTCACTGTATAACCCCCATTTCCCTCTTCTTTATAGAAAAAGGAGTATTTTTTCGGAATCTCCATAACCCACTTACCTAATAACTATGACCAGTTTTCAATTTTCTTAAAAAAAATTGTTTGCTTAAGGGTTAACAACACAAACATTTTCAGAGAGTTTGCAAAATTTAAACTTCCCTACGTCTTATTATATATTCGCGAGTTAGATACCAAGTTGCTTCGCGCTCGTGCTGAATTTTAAGTATGTTTTTGGAGGTGTATGCTTGAGAAGTTAGTCTTAAACCTACTTTATTGTGGATTTTCCTACCTACAATTTGTTTGTTTATCTTTAAATACTATAATGACAGCTTATATATTCTGCTTGTTATAGTTGCAGCAACAATGTGTTGGCTCGACTGAGGAAAGACCACGTTCTTGCAGAATTCCAGTGTTCCAGAGCAGCTCAATACTGCTGCGTTTCAGATGGTGAGTGTAGATAAACTTTTAACTGGATATGAGACATTCCAACTAAATCCTCAGGAATGACAAAGCGTCTGCATTTTGATTCTTAATCAAGGATAGATATAGATGTCTATATATAGTGAATACTACTTAGCGTTTACTGTCCTGTATCTGGACAGCAAAGTTCGTAAAAGAAAAGGATGATAGGAAGTGTTTTTTTATAAGAGAAATGACATTGTTTGTAATATAATGTTTATCTATTCCTTGAACGTCCTTTTTTATACGTTCATGTTTAATTTATTAAAGGAGGATGGCCAAATCGTACCAGACAACGAAATGATAATACCCTTATTGTTTAAGGTCTTAAAACACACAAGAAATACCTCTCTAAGTAGTACACAAAAAGTTATTCATTTATTTCTGTTTTTGTAGCTGTTCAAAATTATTTTAAATAATAGTTTCAGAACGCACCTAGTGACGATTCATTTTGCGTATGAAAGGACTTGGTATTCAAAGACTATAATTATTTACGTTTTTATGAATGGTTGTTAATTTTAATTCAGTTCAATGAGTATGTCGACATCAAATCAACTACTATGCTATATTATTTATTATGTACTGGATTCGTGTCATAAAAATAATAATGTAGTTCATAGTAAGTTAAACGTTTTTTTCAATTACATATATATAACGGAACGTCATTTGTTACCGCTTAATCTGTGGTCATCGATCCGCGCCATTATTGTCATTTTCTTCTGTTGTTTTGACCTCGGTATTGTTTTCCGGATTGATTTTTACACATCTTGAATAATTGTGAGAGACATCACAACTACACAACAAAAGAATTCTTCATTAATAGTCTGTTTTTACATACCTACTTATTTTATTACACTAACATAATACGTCATCATAATTGAAATAATACTAATTTTTACGGAATTTATCGCGTATATTTAACTTTTTTACCCGACGTTTCGAGAGCTTTACAGCACCCATGGTCACGGGAAGGACTGAGATGTTCAACGTCCAGCTGTCATAGTTAACCGCGGTTACCATAGATTAAAATTTAACTTTTGTTCCGATCTACACAGTATGAACTTATGGTATCATGGAGTCTTGCAGTTGTATGCTTGGGTTGGGATTTAATTTTATTTATTATAGGATCCCAAGCAGATGGTAGCACCCAGCCATCTTCTCTATTGAAATTAGGATGTTTTTTGATTTCAATAGCCTCGCGAATCATCCTTGGAAGGAATCGGTGTTCTTTAGCGAGGATTTGTGGTCTATCAAATCTGATGTAGTGACGGAGGCGATCTTGTACATGTTCACAGACTGCAGACTTCCCGGAGCGTCGATTCTTCACATCAGCTATATGTTCTTTGACGCGGGTTTTAATTGATCTTTTAGTTTGTCCTATGTAGGAGAGACCACATTCACAATCAAGCTTGTACACTCCTGCATCTTGCAGAGGGACGTTACACTTGACTGATGGTAAAAACTGACCAATCTTCTTCAGCGGCTTGAAGTATGTTTTGATGGAAGCGCGCTTCAAGATGTAGCCAATCTTGTCAGTGACTCCTCTAACATATGGCAGTACAGCAGGTACACGCTCGACTGTGGCCGGCTTCACTCGTTCTCTGTGACGTAGGCGCGGGACCCGAAGCTTGTTGTCATGCAAAACTTGCTTGACATGTTGGAGCTCGGCAGCCAGGTGTTTACTGTCACAGATCCCTCGTGCTCTCTGAAACAAAGATTTACCCACGGTAGCTAACTGTGAAGGATGGTGGTGAGAATCACCGTTTAAATATCTATCTGTATGGGTCTTTTTTCTATACACAGTATGGCTCAAGGTGTTATCAGGATTCCGAATTACTAACACATCTAGAAAAGCTAAGGAATTGTTTGCCTCTAACTCCATTGTGAACTGAATTTTAGTATTTATGGAGTTAAGATGGTCTAAAAATGCAGTTACTTTATCTAAAGGTAGAATTGTGAAAGTGTCGTCTACGTACCGCTTGTAGAATCTTGGATTTATGGGAGAAGTAAGCAGGGCTTTCTCCTCAAAGTCTTCCATGAATATGTCGGCGACAATGGGAGATACAGGTGAGCCCATCGCCACACCATCTACTTGCTTGTAGAACTCCTCCTTCCACAATAGGTAGCCAGATGTAAGGCAGTGTCTGAGTAATACTGCATATTCTACGGGCATGTTGTTTTCTTCCAGCCTTCTAGTTACAATTGAGATGCAGTCTTCAACAGGTAAGCATGTAAACAATGACTGCACATCAAAACTGACCATAGTTTCATTGTCTGCCAGACGTAGGTCTTTAATCTCGCTGACAAAATGGTAGGAATCCTTTATGTGTGCTCTTGTATGTCCCCTGAGCGGTGAGAGTATTTTCGCTAAGTGTTGAGCCAATCTGTAAGTTGGTGAATCGATTTGGCTCACTATGGGGCGTAATAGAGCATTGGGCTTGTGTATTTTTGGTAACCCATACAACTTTGGTGATTTGGCGCACATAGGTATTATCCAGAAATCATTACGTCATCATAATACAACTCAAACCAATCGTACATCATAATACAACTCTAATTCTTATTTTAGATCACTGAAAAATATTACATATGTGATGCCTGTCAGCAATTGGCAATACAACATGTCAACTTCGGGTTACCTAATTAACCTGGTGCCTCATCTTACCGTGGCCACAAGCATGTTTATATACTTTGTGGAAGTTCTACGTGGAATCGTAAGCGTGACTTTATTGTGATAGAGAATCTATCTCAGTTGTAACAAGCAATGCATGTAGAGCTTGAAAATAGAATTGCCCCACGGCAGGTAATAGGCAATCTTGGTATAAATGTTATAGTGAATTTATCAATGCGATTTTATATTGTTTTGTAAAAATGTTTCTATTTGCTCAGGTTTAATAATAATGTGACAAAATAATTATATTAAGAGTATGTATGGTTGTTTCAGGCAACTTCAACAGACCATGTTTGTTATCCCTGATGGCTGAGACTCAAGAGAGTTGCAACACATAATATGACGAATCAAAGGGCAGTTGGGTGATGTACACATGTTATGACGCTTGTGCCAGATATCAGCCTACAATATCGCCAGCACCAGCATCACTCCTTGATGTTGTAGTTGTAAGAGAGGATGATGAATAAAAA